AGTGAAATATGGCCAAATGTACGAGATTGATGATAATATTGCTGAAAATCGATAGTTTTGTTTCCTAAAATTAAATTTTATTAAACAAAATAATACAGAATATTTATTATCTATTGAAAAAAAGTTATCTGATGTTTATGGGATATAAATGAAGTTCATAACTAAACAGTATTAATATAATATTCATACTAAATTTTTAGCATTGTGATATGTAATGCCAGTTAGGAATTTCGTATAACTCCACAACAGTCTTAAAGATTGTATTCATTTTGATTTTTTATTTCAAAAATGCTCTGATTTTAGTCATGAAATGTGAAGACCATGTATGAGTGAATATATTTTTCAAAAAAATTTTATATATTAGTATTAATTTTAAATTCTTATTTGAACGCTCGTTCTTTATTTTATGTTACTACTAGAATTAGTAAATTCTTATTTTGAATGTCTTCTCTGCAATCGCTTTCGAATAAAACTATATCTATTCATATACTACTATTTATATCCTAATTGAATTTAAAAATAAAATTAATACAATAATAAGACTTTAAGCTAATAAAAGTAACAAAAATACCGTCCTCTGCATTTTCTATTCTGCCCCAATATTTTAAAATAGAACTGAACTTTAATGGTGCAATATTGATCTTCCAATAAAATTAAAAAAAAACTTCAAGTATCTAATATTAAAGAATATTATAAGTTGAAAATAATGAGGCTTCTTATTCAAACTTAAAGCCAGTTATTATATTCTTTCACTATTTTCTCCTACAACATGCTTATATACTTTATGTGCTTTTTAAGATCATGTTTTCAAAGCACATAAAATCGTATCTAATGAAAGTGGGCAAAAAGTGCTGATGATTTCTTATACATACTAAAAGTTTCTTTGAACTCAATTAATAATAACATAAGATTTTTGCTATACACATGGAAAAATTCTCAGCTTTAAATATAGGATTCAGATTACGTTATATATATATTACATGTGTTAGTATTATATATGTATACTTATATCAAATTTCAACGATATGTTCAAATTCAATTAGGCGTATAGAAGGATGAGCTTTTGAAGATTATAAGGGACTCGGTCAGTGTTATGAATAATGAATAACATGCCACAAACTCGAGAAAATTTTGAATATTTTCAGTCGTGGGCTGATACGTCGATAAACTCCATCATACCTTGATAAAAACCTAATATTTTTAGTGCAAAATTGGGTAATTTAATAATAGACATAATAAAATAAAGTCTAAAATCTCCCTAATTGTTTAGCCAAATGATAATAATATAATAATTATGTTCTCATAAACAGTAACTCCACAATTGTGCAAAATTTATTAATAGAAAAATACTTAAATCTCTAAATTAAAAAAAACAATTTGCTTTTTTACTTGCTGTTTTAATTTTTTTACATTTTTGCAAGGTAAAATTTCATCTGGTTGTTTTTCCCCAATCATATATAAATTTGTTATATAAAAAAATAATATTACATCCTATAAAACAATTAAATTAAATATCATTTTACATAAACATAAAAATCAAAACAAAAATGCCATTCTGTTACATCTACTTATAAAGATGGAAAATATCGCACGTATATTTCGTGATTGATTGTTGAGCTGTATTAAATGCATCATCGAGTGAAATATCCCCTTCAGCATCCGTATATTTAATATAACCTTATAAGCATATCAGAACATTTCCACTTTCAATAAATATACTGTGAAAAGCAAATAACATACATCATAGCACATACGACATATCTTACAACTAACTATTTAAATATACTCAGTAACTTTCCCTTGTTATTGCCTAAATATAGAAATATGTTTATTTATCATCTGTTTCATTTTAACCTTAGAGGGCAAACACACCCAATGTCTCATTTTTAATTATAAAGTATTTTTCTAAATAAAAACTATATTATTTACCCAATTGCAAATAAAAATTTCAGGAGCCCAATTTTACAAAGATTACACCTAAATTTATTATTAAAATAAATTGCTATTTCTACCCAAATTATTTTTTTTGCATATGTACATTGGCGATCAAAATAATATAAATATAATAATAATATAATTTTTTAGACAATATGCTGGTTGTAAATGCATTTAAAGATTTTATCTCTAATGAGATATCTTTTTTTTATTTTTTGACATTCCATTTAAGATCGTTTGATCATACTTTTTTAATCTTCGAGTTGAAGATTCCTCACTCAATTATTTAAATGTTTTTTGGGTGACCGGGTAATTTTTTGTAGTATTTTTTACTTTTTTCTTTTATTACTTTATTAATAGTTCTTATTTTCAAGTCTTTATGTAGATTGTCATTATTTTTTTTATTTTCTTTTATTTACTTGCATTTTTTTTAGTTTCACGCCTTTTCCGAGAAAAGGTACGGTTTGTCCTTTTTAAGACACCTTATGTCAGTTTTTATATGGAATATTAATAACAATTCATTCTGACTTAAAAATTACAATACATCTTATAAAACTATTAAATATCGTATGCCTAAAAGTTATATTAAAGTGTCGTGAACTAAACAACAGTGCTCACGAGCAAAAAAACTAGCAACCGAAGAAAATACTTCTATTATGGATTTTCAAACTTTGCCCTTTATCTCTTGATAGCAACGTCGTATGAATCAAGGTCATGGCTAGTTATACATGTTTTGCCCTCTGCTTGCAAATATTTTTGTACCAAATTACATAATATATCACATGGTATATACCTATCACATAATATATTATACCTATATTATAATTTTTGTGTCCACTTCAAAATTAAATTGCGTGTCAAAATTATCTCTACAAGTTCATTCCATTTCACATATTCCGGTTTGATGTATTCTAATCACACAATTGGTAAGATAAGGCCTAGAGTGTGGAAATGGCATTGCGTTCGAATTTACACATTTGTACAGGAAAATTATCTAGTTTTATTGTGCCATTGTGATTACCCGATTTTGTTTCGTTTGTGGCTAACCTTCCGCTCGGTAATCAATGTTAGACGAGGTTTATTGATACTGATAACAACGATTCTATAGTATAGTACTATATATAGTTCAATACCACATGTCCAAAGTATATATCGAACACTTGTTGCTTGATATACACTTTGGACATGTAGTATTGAACGGTGGAGGAATAACTGAAAAATTGATTAAGGCGTTTGCGGACGTGAATTCATTTTCATATTGAAGCAGAATGACATGAATGTTATAGCATTCGAGTTTTGAAATTATTGCACCTATCAATGTAATGACTAACTGGTTCTTCAGGTATTTTTGTATCATCTTATATTTTCATGTAGTTGCGTAAAATAGAAGCGTGTCACTTGACGTGGATGCTATAGCATTCATCGCATATAACGATTAAAATATTATAATCAAATTACCCTTATAAACGGCGTGTGAAATTTTGGATATCACAACCAAATTAAAAATAAAATGTCATTTTTGTACCATGCTGAAACTCCGACTGTCTGCAAATATATTAAAAGGTCTTTGACTTCTAACTGCAATAATATCTTTCCTTTTAAAGTATTATTATTGATTGTTTTTTTACCTTCAAATGTATTAGATTTTTATATCACCAAGTTTGCCTAATTGAAAAATGATTAATCAAACGAAATAACAATAATTGTTTGGATAATGATAGATCATTGAATATATCATTGAAAATTTTAGATGTTTTTATGCCTATTATATATGTCTTTATTTTTGGTGTTAATTAAGTATTGTAGATATATTTTATAGAATATATATATTCTATAAAATATATACACTATACTTAATTAACATCAAATCCAAAAATATAGACATATAATTATTATAGATATTATAATTTAAAAACAATTTCCAAAAATTCTTTTTTAATTATTTTTGTAATTCAGATTTATTGAATGTTGACATATCAAATGACGAAACATTTAAATAGAAAAAAATATTAAAATTTTAAATTTTCAGAAACAAAAATCAAAAACATTATATTGTTTCAGTTCACATGCTTTCCTCAACAAATTCAAATTCTGAAACTCTAGTATATTTACTGACTATTTGTTAGTTTTGGTGATTTTTTATAACTTAATTTTACTTTAATATAATCTTATTTGTGTTAAAAAAGTTATATAGAGTACGTTTATCTTCTAAAATTATTAAAGTTCGTATTAGGTATTAAACGTATATTAAAAACTAGATTTTTTTATATTAGTATATTATCTATATATTAGGTACAGTGGTAATGGCGCCGAATTGCCTAAAAATGTAGCAAAATGAAACCGTAACCTAGTTTTGAAATAATTGGCAATTACGAATCAGTCGGCTGGTCTTATCATGGTTGACCTTCTATGCTAAAGTCTATTCAAAACACGTAATTTATCAAAATTTTGATTTCGTGCCATACATTTCAACATAGAAATAAATTAAAATTAACATTTTTTATTTATACATATTATTTAATAGTTATATTTTTCAATAGTTAATGTAATACTTGACTAACATTTCTCGAGAGCTGTATCTAACGTTTCATCAAAGTATCTTTAGAAAATGATTATTATTGTTTCTTTAATAATGCATATAAATATATAAACTCATAGATATCATACTTAGTTCATTATTAAAATTTTATTGTCTCTTAATAGCTTAAAGTTAAAATATTTTGAAAAACCTAAACAATGGCCGTCAAAAACAATGGTAATTCAGTTATTCTGACTATAATTTTACAACTTACGAAATCAATTTTAATTAATATATTAATAGCATTTCTTTTTATTTTAGTTACATATAATATATAATAATGATATTAATTAATATCCTAACTAACTTGAGTGGTAACTAATACCATAGATAAACAAGTATAAATGACTAATACTTTAGTAACTATTAATGTATAGTGCAAAAATGAATTGTAAGTTTAGTATAGTGAGATAATGAGTATGTGAAAAAAACTGACAATGTGTTTTAAACAAAACTAATCCAAGTGACTTTAAAAATGATTCTAAACATGGCAGAAACCCATAGCACAGAGTGGGCATTGCTGTTCCCTCTAAAAGCAGGACTTTTCACACTTCGAACAGCTCCTGAAATATCCCGATCAACCGCGATGCCTCAACAAGGAAGATCAGCAATCGAACTTAGTTCACCACCAGGAGATGAAACTTCTCCAAAAGTCATCGTGGGTAACGGAGATCCAAAATCGTCCAGGACCAGACGTCGATCTAGTATGTCGGATCTGGATAAATTATCAGCAGCGTTGCCGGATCTGGTGCGATCTGCTGCAGGAAGTATGCATTATGGGTTAAGTTTTAACTCCTTACCGCACAGTCCACATGCTGCAAAAAGTATTTGTTCTTCTGGCACTTATCCTCAAGGAAGTATCGGAGATTTGATGAATTTGAAGAAGTATGGTGGCAGTTCGTGGAGTGTGCGCAGTGAAACTTTAGTGGCGAAAACTGTTCCTCTGTCGACTGTAACGCCACGGCACAGTCCGACAAGAAAGCCTTGTTGTGAAAATATGATAACGGTGGAAATATTGAATGACGATGAGGAGGATAATGTAGATTGTGATGCCGTTTTGACTTCCGCACAGAGGACGCAAAAGCTCACCCGGTTGCTGAAGAAACAGCGCGCCTCGGCTAACAGAGCTTTGGTAAGTTTGTTTTCAAACCGCAGCTTGCGGTGTAGATGGCGACTATGTATATACGATTACTTTGAGCTTTAATTACATCATATTGATAATATATTATTTTATCTATTAAACCACAAAAATATAGTGATATCAAATATAGGATTATTCAAATAAAGGCAATTATTAATATTTTTATTTTTTATTTCTATTTTTATTTTTAACCAAAATTAAAATTCCTATTATTATTACTTATTGAGAAAATATTAGTTATCATTTTTGTCTATACTGCTAATAATAATAATTTTCTATGATTTCTCTATTAAAATTAAAAAAAAATGCTACGAAATAATGAAATTGTAGTATATTAATGTAGTTTAGTGATTATATTGGTGATAGTAGAATAGTATTATAGATCAGTGACCCAATATATTGGGTTTGTTAACATATAGATATTTATATATAGGGTTGGATGAGGCTCAAAGGTCCGTATGTAAAAAGGCCCACCACCAATAGATAAAAAAGTAATGTTGAGAAGTTTTTAACATTTTAAAGCAGAAGCAAAATTATGTATAACCAGACATCACATTAATTCATATATCATTGCCATAGAGAGATAAACGGAAATGTTTGAAAATTTATACCAGAAGTATTTTCTTTCGTTGTCAATTTTTTGCTTGTGAGCAGTGTTATTTAGTTTACAAAACCTGAGTATAATTTCGAACCATACTTTATTGAATTGTATTATAAGATACAATTAAGTTTAAGTAATAAGAGTATAGTTTAAGTTAGATTGAACAGATGTTGTTATATAACCGTAATAATAGTTAAATTGAACAGATGTTATTTTATATCCCTTATAATGGGCAAAAAAGGATCGACTGAATCTTCATCCTGACATAAGCATAAACAATAAAAAATAGTAAATATAAAAGTAAATTAAGTTAAAAAACATTTTCACAAGAGATAAATAAAATAATAGTTATTCCAACACCGCTGAGGATTATTTCTGACAAAACACCACATCAAGGTTATATACAGTGTTATCTTTGTAAAAATGTGGATATGAAATTTATATTTTGCGTTGATTAAATAATGTAGTAATTATTTCGTAAAATCTTTTCAAAATTAAAAATAACACTTTTGACCTTTTTTTGCCCAGTGGCCGTTCCATTTTACTCGCCTTTAGGGTAAAAAGAAGCAGGTGACAAATTTTTGAAAAACAGAAAAATCACAGTTCAATAATGGTAAATTAGCTGAGAGTTCAAGTGAATATAGTCAGATAGTTGTTTGTTTGATATGTGTTATTTGTAGTATTGTGATTGGTTTGGTTTTACAATATAATTGCTCAAGATCAAATTGGACATTTGTAAGAAAAGTTTCAATATTAGAAAGTTCAACTAAGAATATAACATCAGAAAAATTGAGAGAATAAATTATTTTTTATAAAAAATCGATGATTTTTCACTTTCTGGATAAATTGTTATATAATAATTGTTAGATTCATGTAATTTTCGTACTAGCTAATAATGATGAAAGCTATTTGAAAACAGCATTTGAAGTTCCTTACAATAGTTTGCTTTTTGGCAATAAGCATAATTTTTCATAGAAAAAAATACAATATTTAAAAAAATATAAGATTTTATTTTATGTTTAGTAGTAAAAAAATATTGCTTTAAAATATGCTTATATAATTTTGATATGTTGCACATGCTTCTAGAAAAAAAAAACTAGTGGTGTATGGTATCGTGCCTTAAGGTAAATTGCTGAAATTTCTCATATTAAAAATAATTTTTTTTTAAAAAAAACACATTTTTTTAAACTTTGAAAAAATTAGATTTTTGATATATTTTAAATTTTTGAAAAAAAAAATATTTTGAATTGTTTTAGAACGTATAACGTGAAACGTAAAGATATATAAAGAATTTCATTTTTGATTTCTTGCGATTACTATAACTTAACCTAAGGGGAGTTAATTAAGAATGCAATTAAAACATGTGAAATTAGTTATGAGGACTAATGTTATTAAGATTTAGATTAAAAGTTTTATTTGTTCAACAAACCCTGTGGATGAAGATCATAATATGGTCTTTCGAGAGTAATTATGTTCAAACCGATATTTGCACAAATCATTTCAATTATAATATATAACGTATAGAACGGCGGTCATTTTACATGACCGCTATGCTTTCCATTGAATATATATATATATATATATATATATATATATATATATATATATATATATAGATAAACAGACTCGATTACAATTCTGTAGCTTTAGCTTGAATTTGCGTAAATTCATAGCTCCGGGCCATGCACTCCGGATCCTAATTTGTTTCCAGTAGTAGCAAATGGCAAAGCCCATCCGGAGTATATAACCAAACAAATATACAGTAACGCACATTAATCTACAGAGTTTATGCAAATATACGTTTGTTTGACTCTAAAAGTTTATGACAAACATTGTTAACACAAAACAGGACGAAAATTATAAACTTTTGATTATTTTGGTTATTAATTCCCCATTTCCGAGCGTTCTGAACTAATTAATTTAGTACAAATATTATTGACATTTGGTTTCGAAAAATAAATATCACAAAGCGTAAGGTAGATTTTTGCATAAAAATAATATGCTTGTTTCTATCAAGAAGTTTTTTTTATCAAGTAGTGTATCCGAATATTTCCCAAAGGATAGTAGAAATTGTGCAAAGTTTTACTTTATGCTAAATATCTCGAATTAATTAATTTTACGGCAAAAGTTCAACTAAAGAAGTTATTGGATACAATGTTTCCTTGGTTTCATTAGAATAGTTTTCAACCAAAAATTATACTTTTAGTTTAAAATCCGAAGTGCGAAAATGGATATTACTGAAATTGATGTTAAATATTCAACGATTTTTACACATTTCTTTAACTATGCCTGTGCGGAAGCGATTAATATTGTAAAACACTTTTCTCCAAATAAATGCAATTCGATATTATATATATATATATATATATATATATATATATATACATATACTAATTTTAAATGTATGCTTTATTTCATTAGCGGAAAGCTTTACCCATAAATATTTATTATTTTCAATTTCATAATTTTGCGTTTTACGCTTTTATTAATATTTTATTATAGTTTAATTTGGTTTTGGTAATTAGGCCGCTTTAATTGAAAACCTAACATTTAACAAATCAATAATAATTTTATTACACATCAATTATTTTGTTACACTTCTTTGTTTATACAAAAAGCCATATCACACTTGGTCGATATTGGAGCTTATTCGGTTGGATCCAATACTGATTTTAATTAGTTTTGAGTAAATTTTATTCATATTTAACTCAAAATTAATTATTTTTTAAATATTCAATATTGCTATGATTATTTTCTTTATTAAAATCTTCAATATCACTTCAGAGAAAAATATCGCTAACTTATCAGTCAAATAATTTTCAATGTTTCTATGTTCTTGATATAACTTATATTTCTATTATTTTTCAGTTTTATTTATTAATATACTGCCAGTATATTAGTTTATTAGTTTCTTGATGATTTGCTACTTCATTTTAGTTTAATAAAAATCCTAATTTGATTTAATTAACATATTTATTGTACACTTTTGAACATAATATTTTTTTTTAATTTTAATCCGGATTTTATTAACACTATCGAACTCTATTACTAGATTTTATTTAACAGTTATTATTTGTAACCATAGTTGTAACGAGAATACTGAGAAAACATGTGAAATTATTTTCTCTAAATTTATTTTCATATAAATAAATTTTATTTTTTAACTTTCTGTAGGGTTACAGTAATCGCAAAAAATCGAAAATAAAAATTTGTATATATCTTTACGTTTCAAAGGTTTCTGAACATTTGGGCATACCTTGGAAAAAATTTATGTATGTGTGTGTATGTGTGTGCGGGTACAATTTTTGTCGACGATTTTGAGAACACGTATCAACCGATTTGAATAATTCAAAAAACATTCGATTCATGTTGTTAAGGAGAAATGATGATTAGTTTCTGGCAAAGGCAGGCTCAGCTGTTCCAAAGATAAGGGCAAAAAATGCCAAAAATGGTAAATCAATTTTTGCTTTTCTTATAAAAGCATGAATGAATATCTCCCTCAGAAAATTGTTAAAAATCGCAACACAGTGAAGTTGTTACAAACAGAATTCAATTTTCTTCTTATAAATTATGTTTATAAGGTATATATGTGTGATCAGGTTCAAAATGTTTGTAGTTTGTATTTTGAAAGTAATCTGAAACCCGTAATGGATTTTATTGCCAGTATTCAATTTACAATGTACCGACCGAAGAGAGTATTCAACGCTAAACTTCTACTTCTATTTCTGGGTCTTCTCTAATAAACCGCCAACGCAGCATTTTGCTGCTACTGCCTGCTGCCTGCTGCCCTAGAATATGATAATGGTACTGTTCTGTGTTAGTCTTGAAAATTTACGGGATAAATTCAATTATGAGACTGAAATAATTCAGTTACCAGAGAATATGTAACTGTCTATCGTTGGATGAGGATAAACAATGCACGTGAAACTTGTTTAGCGAATTTAATTCATTCTATTGAATGAATATATTATATTCTCAAGCTAGATATCATAAGTACAACTGCTAACTATTTTTTGCATCTTTCATTAGCTATTTAAAATGTAAACTAGTAGTGCATAGTATCGTGCCTTAATTTTTACGGTTTTAAATCAGTATAACTTTCAACCTTGTGCAAGAATTTTGGGCTTGGCTGGTGGACGAACGTGATGATGAACATTGTTTTTCCTGAAAAACATCAAAAAAAGAAAAATTTCTATAATTAGATATGTGTTAAACTAGCTGTAAGTGGAATTCTGTCTTAAGGCAATTAAGGCATCGTACCTTAAGGCAAATTGCTGGAACTTCCCGTACCAAAAATTATTATTTTTTTTAAAAACGATTAACATTTTTGAAAAAAAATTACTTCGAAAAAATAAGATTGAAAAAAAAATGTTTTCTTTATTTTGACATA